AGGGGTTGAAACCACCAACCAGATATACAATAAATGGATTAATGGTTTTTTGAACAGCTTCAATGCATTTTTGTTGATCCTTTTCGGTTTTTCGTTCATTTTTGCTGTAGATATTCGTCCTAATAGAAGCACAGCACAGGTGGTGCGACGGCTCGGCACATGCCAATCTCCAACAGCTCGTGCACAGCTAGGGTCGGTGGCCTCACAACAGCCAACTTCATGTTGAAAAAAAGAAAACCGGCCAAGAGCACTTCATCTACAGGCTGGATTTCATACCTTCCAGGATCTATGGCAGTTGACTGTTGCACGACCGACGACTTTCAGCTCAGCTGAGAAAGGGTTGCCTGAGGTGCGCAGCAGAAATCAGAAGCCTCGCCGTTGGGTCTCTCGAGAGGAACCTACTGCAGAAAAATGGCAGTTACATTGCCAGCTACAAGGAAGCCTTGTGCAGAAACTACGACACCTTGCAGCAGGCAGCGTGTAGCCCCCGGTTGCAGCAACCAATCCCACAGGCTCCAATGTCTGCAACATATGCTCAACATATGCCCAATTGTGAAGCCCTGGGCATACCTTGTACCCTCCGGTAATTTAACATAGCTATGGAAAATCACCATTTTTAATGGGAAAACTCACTATAAATGGTCATTTTCAATAGCTATGTTAGTTTACCAGAGGATAACATCATATTTTTATCTGAACATCGATGGCACACGGGAAAATCATCGAAGTCGGGAGGATTTTTTCCCGATTTTTCCAGCCATTTTGCCCCGGGAGGTCTCTGTCGGGGACGAGAAGTCGGACACCTTCGACAGGCGATGGGTGGAGCATTGAGCATGCCATGGGATGTCCCGAAATTCTGAAAATTACCCGGCCTGGATTTAATGAAAACCATAGGAAAACCATAGGAAAGTGGAGGTTTACCCTCTGGTTTATGGGATTTTAGTGTGATTTAATGGGAAATGCCCCATGGAAAATGACAGTTTATAGCTAGGAAAATCCACTATAATATGGGTTTAATAGGTATATACCCGGCCTGGTAAACATGCAAGAAACGATGGAAAGATCCACCATCTTGTAGCTGGGAAAATCCACTATAAATGGCTATTTTCAATAGCTATGTAACATATTACCAGAGGGTAACTATAGATGACTACCCTCTGGTTTCATCTAACATAACTATGGAAAATCACCATTTTGTAGCTGGGAAAACTCATATGGATATACCCTCTGGTAAACTAACATGACTATGGAAAATCACCATTTTGTAGCTGGATAAATCAACTATTTCGACTGGGCAATTTTCAATAGCAAACTGTTTGTTTACCAAAGGGTAATACTGGGAAGATTTGTCTGGTTGGCGGTTTGGAACATGATTTTTTTTGACTTTCCATATATTGGGAATAATAATCCCAACTGACTAATGTTTTTTAGAGGGGTAGATATACCACCAACCAGAACATCATATATTTAACTTTGATTCTATATCCACAACCACACTTCACTGGTTCCGTGCACTTCCAAGAAGCTCCTTGTTTCAGTTCGCTTCGCGCGCATAGCTTCAGTTTTGGGAACTGGTTTCTGATCACGGAGGTGCTGAAAACCATTGAACACCTGTTTATCAGATTGAACAAAACAGTGATATGTTATGATATGTTACTGTTGTGCAATGTTCGGTGATTTACCTATGAAAAATGATAGTTGTCCTGCTGTCAAATTACCAAAGGGTACAGCATCTTTGTTGATGACTGCGCCCAGCGAAGGCACGAAGGCAACGGACCGGCAACGGACCCTGCAGGTCCACGAAATCAAGCAAAACCAGTTGGATGTTCCCATGAGTTCGATGGTTTGTTCCTAAGCCTACAATGTGGGGCCCCCCAGTTATAAGTTGGTTTATAAACCCCCATAACTATAGTTATGAGTGCCATAAACATCCATAAACCATAGTTATTGGAGTTATGAACCAACTTAGCTATCGTGGGGGCCCCACATTGTACCATCCTACCATGGCAATTTTCCTGGTGAATATCAAGAAATCTCCAGAGATGTTCGACAATTACCATCATCCCCATGAGAAATCACTGAAGATTCCCACTAAAACGACATGGAGATTGCAGCATGATCATATTGGAAATTTTGTTCGTGTGAGCGTCATGGAGATATGATATTCCCACGAAATGAGATATGATAATATGAACGTCAAGTTAATTGCTATCATCGTTGTTATCATGATTATGTCATGACTGGCTGGTGGTTTGGAACATTTTTATTTTTCCATAATAATCATCCCAACTGACTACTGTAATATTTTTCACAGGGGCAGGTATACCACCAACCAGATGATTCTATGTCCATTTCCAGATGATTCCAACCGATGTTCGTGGAATATCCGTGGCACCAGAGAACACCCATGGACATCCACCAGGGGATCCTATGGCAAGCCCGGCTCTGTGATCGGCAGCGTTGCGGTGATCTACAACAAGGAGCAGGCGATGGCAGCCGAGCCGGGCTTGGAATCACAACCAATGGACCAAGAGGTAGATTTATCTGGGTAAATTATAACGACCTCACTGCGACCTCACTGGAATCATGGTTAGTAATGGGAATCATCCCCAAATGGGCCTTAATTCAGGTTAGTGAAATATTTTAATTTACCCAAATTTATAGATTTCTACTGGAATTGGAACTGGAAATATCTGAATCTTTGGGGAATACATGGGGAATCATCTAAAATGAATAGGAACTGCAAATGCAAATCCGATCCGTTTGGGCTTGAACATAGAGAAAGAATAGGGATATTGATATATATCACCAGCACATATTTGGGATTTAACCACTCAGAATTTGATATTTCTTGGAAATTCGGCATGGATAATTGTGTTGGTGGATGATCCAATTGTCTGCGGTTTCATGAGCCATTTGGTGAAGCATCCGGAGGCAAAGATCGTCTACCCTGACAGTGAGATTGGGTCACATAGCAACCTCACCAAAGCAATTGAGCAGTGGCTGCGAAGCCCCTGTTGGTTGATGATTAGTTGGGGGATCAAAAGCTACACCAAGACTGGTTGGTGGTTTGGAACATGTTTTATTTGTCCAGATGAATTGGGAAAAATGATCCGAATTGACTAATATTTGTCCAGATGGGTAAAACCACCAACCAGTTGGGGATTATAATAATCCAAGAACCTGGAATCCCTATAAACCAACCAGTAAAATGGAATAACAAGGGCCCCTTAGCTGAACGGGCCACGTATGTGCAAGCCAAAAAGGATGGCGGAGGTGGAAGGATGTCAACCTACGCTGTGACGAAGGAGGTGAAACAGACAGGGAACCGCACGTTTCATCAGCTGTTTCCAGTCCTGGTGGCAGCGGAGTGGGGGATCTTAGCACCATTTTATGGTGTTGAAACTTCAGCTTAAGCTGAAACGTTAAGGGTTGCTGACGCTATTAAAAAAACCCTGCGCTGGCAAAATGAAACCCCATCTGGTTGGTGGTTTGGAACATTGTTTTTTTCCATATGGGTATGGATCAATACCTATACATACCATTTTTAGGGGGATAAACATCCATTTACCAGCTATTTTGATGTTCACCAGGGGTACACGGTTTTGACACACTGCCATATATTGGGAATGTCATCATCCCAACTGACTTTCACTCCATCATTTTTCAGAGGGCTAGCGGCTAGGTGGTTCAACCATGTTCAACCACCAACCAGCCTATGTTTTAACCAATGATTAACCACCATTAACCAACTATTAACCATTAACCACTATTAAACATCATTAACCATAGGAAAACCATAGGAAAACCATGGTTTATAGACCACTATTAACCAACCAGCCATTATTAACCATTGTTAACCAGTATTAACCACTATTAACCATGAGGATTCAACCACCATTTCTCACGGTAATCCAATAGGAAGTTCCTGCTGGTTGTACCAAGCTTTCGCTCCGAAAAAAAATTGCCAAGTGATTGCTGGTGGCGAAGAAATCCTCACTTACCCTCTGGTAAACATACAAAAAGCTATTGAACATGGCCATTTATAGTGGATTTTCCCATTGAAAATTGTGATGTTCTATAGTTATGTAACAGTTTACCAGAGGGTAAGCCATGGGCCATGATGATGTTGCTTTATTTCTCTGTGGAACATCTATGAAGCTGAGCTAGCTGTTTTGAGCTCTAAGAATCTATAAGATGTACAGATCATTTACCATATTCTTTGTAAGCTGAAAGATGATATAATTATGGAATAAGCATCTTACCAGTAAATTATCGGGGTAATCAACATATAATGGAATCCATAAAGCAGTGTATTCCATATTCTTCGCGGAGCCATTCAGCCATGATCGAAGATTTCAGATATGCCATGCTGAGCGCCTTTGCATCCTGCTTGGCTTATGTTCCCAATGTGAAATCCAGCGGGGAATCTTCTTTGGGAATATGTGTCTGGTTGGTGGTTTGGAATATTTATGACTTTCCCATCATATTGGGAATGTCATCATCCCAACTGACGAAGTCCATCATTTTTCAGAGGGGTAGGTGGCTCAACCACCAACCAGCCCATGTTTTAGCCAATGATTAATGATTAACCATCATTAACCATTATTAACCACTATTAACCATTACTAATCACTATTTTCCTATGGTTTTCCTATGGTGAGATGGGATGGGAACCAGCAAATCATAGCAAATCCAGAATCCAATTGCTTCAGATCATGATCTCAGTGAAATCTCCACATATCTCCACGCTTCGCAAAAAAAAATCCGGCCGTTTTTTGAGTGAAATCCGGCCGTACCCGGCAATCAAATGTGGTTATTTTTATTAAAACACAATAAACCAATGGGAGCGTTTTTTATAATTAATTCTATTAAAACAGATTAAAACTCCCATGCATATTCTCCATTGCCACTTTTGATTACTTCAAAGGGTAACTCGTTTTTTTGTTCATGTTCGATCTATTGCTTCTTGAACGCCGGTTTTTTACGCGACGCCACAGGTGGGCGGTGCCTTTGCCAAAGGCACCGTGGAGTGCTTGTGCTTGAACAAGGTGCGTTTACTATAGCGATTCCTGTCATGGCTGGATGGATGTGGTGAAAAGAATAAACCATCCATTAATCAAACCACATCAATGGATGGTTTATTAATCTTTTAATGTATTAATGTGGTGATTAACCTGTTTACCATCAAGATAAATGGATTAATGGATTAATGTGGTGATTAATGGCTGGATGGTAAGTTTATATCACCTGTCAAAATGGTGATGACTGGGGGATGGTGCAAATGGCATTGTTTTACCCACATTATTGGTGATGTTTCTCATGTTTTTTTGTGTTGGAGTTGTTTGGAAATCGGGAATCAAGGGATTTTTCGGAGAATCTGATGGTAAGATATATGGGATAATCTTTCCCATTCACGAACTCGTATTTTTCAAGATGGTTAAGACCACCAACCAGATTCTGGTTTAATTCAAAACGGTCATCTCATAGGAGTGTCTTCAAAATGGGGACCCACATCACCCAAAAGTTGCTCTTCGAAAAATTACTGGTGTGGTTGGGTTGATATTAATATGGTAAACCATGGTTTACCCTTTGGTAAACTAACATAACCATGGAAAATCACAATTTTGGGAAAACTCTATAAACCATGGTTCCCATATGCTCCATGGTGCTGGAATATGTACCAACATTTGCCCGAACAAAATCACCCAGCCCTGTAGGTAAATATATCATACATGGAGCATATGGGCAAGGGCAACTAATGCTGAAAAGGGGAACGAAAAACAAATTATGGCACGGTTAGAAACTAAAGCCCCTTCATTTTGGCCACAGACATCCTCTAGGATTTGTGAATGGCGTCCAGAATTTCAAAGTGGGACACGAGAATAGCACGAGAAATGCCAAATTGGGGGTGGTGTCCCCGCTTGTGTCAGGCAAAGCCCCGACGTTTTCCGTTTTCCATATAGATGGCTACACTCTGGTAAACTAACATAACTATATATATATAGAAAATCACTATTTTAAATAGGTAAATCAACGATAAATGGATCGTTTTCAATAGCTTTTTGTATGTTTACCAGAGGGTAACATCCATGGTCAGATTTTTAACATCCATGGTCAGGTATAAAATGGGGCTGATCCACGACTAGAATCGATCATGCCTACATGAGAATCCAGAGGAAGTCTGGAAAATGAGGCACTTTCGCCAAATGTGGAGGTGAACCGAAACGTTCATTGATGATGAGTTTTCGAATTACTACCCTCTGGTAACTTAACATAGCTATTGAAAATGACCATTGAAATAATAGTAGATTTACACATTGAAAATGGTGGATCTTTCCATAGTTTTTTGTATGTTTACCGGAGGGTAACGGATATTGAATCCAGAAAATAATATCCATTAATGATCCATAAGTTAACATTCCCATATACTCCATGCATGATATATTTACCTACAAAGCTGGGTCATTTTTAGGGCACATGCTACATATTCCAGCACCATGGAGCATATGGGGAATGCAGTCACCTAAACCCCTTGAAAAATGAGCCCAGCAAGAAGTCTGAAGTCTGAAAGGAAGGGATGTCCCTCGCAAGATTGCTTCCATATTTTAGAGTTTTTGTGTATATATATATATGTTTGTATTGTCTGCTACAATGTTCTCAAATATTTGTAAATATTTGATATTGCTGCAGGATCTTTGATGATCTTTGATGTCTTTGTCCACCTGAGGATCAAGTTGGTCTGTCAAACCGGAGACCAGTCGCGGAATCAGAGGCTGAGCTGGTCTGTCCTGGTGGGACGTGCGGGACATCTTGCCGCAACGTGCGTGAGCGCAGGAGGGCTCACTATCTGCAGGAAGGCTATGGAGCGCGCGGTTTGCCCCAAAGTTCTCGTGTTGAGCTCTTGACCAATGCGAAGATACCAAGAATGGTTGATTCCTGCGCACCAAAAAAGGTCAGCCCGAACTTCAAGCCCTAGAAGTCACCATGCGCACCAGTTCGTATCACATGTAACCCATCACCGGGTCGACCCCGCTATTTTATGAGGTAAAAAAAACTGTCAAACATTAGCTCATTATGAAATACCATAGAGGCACCATTATATCACCATGTTTAGTGGTTCAACTCCATAAATTCCAATATGAAACCATTTAAAATTCAATAAACCATTCAAAAATTCCTGTTTCAGAACATTTTAACGCGGATCAAACCAGTGAAAGCCCCATGAATATCCACAACAATCCCATTAAATCCAGTAAAGTCACATTATATCACCATTAAATATATTATATATTATATTCATCTTATGTCAATATCAGTCTTCTACCACATGACTGGGGTAATCCCATTTATATCACCATTGAATCACCGTTAATGGGTTAATCATCATCATTAATCGGATTATTACCACCAAATATCACCATCAATCAACGGCTCATTGGATTTTTCCACCAATAAATCACTAATTAATTTCCACGAGTAAAATCACCATGAAATTACCATGAAATCACATAACCACCATTGAATCATTCTAACTTGTGACTTAACAGTTATCCTATTGAAACACCATGAAATCACCATTTATATGATATTAATTGTATTCACCTTATGTCAATAGCCTTCTACCACATTAATATCATCATGAAACCACCATTAAATCACCATTAAATCACCATTAAATACCATCTATATCACCATTGAATCACCATTAATGGCATTAATGGGTTAATCATCATCATTCATGGGATTATTACCACCATTGATGATTATTCATCAATGATAATAATCCCATGGTGGTTAATGGTGGTTAATCATAACCTTAATCACCATTTATGGGTTAATCACCATTGAAAATCTTGGCGAAGCTGTAAGGTGTCCTGTCTCCGTAGGCGTCCTTGAGCAACTTCAGCGCCTCGGTCATCGACGTGCTGCGCCGCGCCGCCTTCAAGGCGACCCGGAAGGATTTCATGGTGATTTAATGGTGACTTAATGGTATTTAATGGTGATTTAATGGTGATTTAATGGTGATCTAATGGTGATCTAATGGTATATGGGTATGGATCAATACCTATTAATACCATTTTTAGGGGGATGAACATCCATTTACCAGCTATTTTGATGGTTTATTTAATGGTGATCTAATGCCCTAAGGATCCATGTCTGGAATATTTACCGACATTGGGATTATTTTAAATTACTGTTTTAGCTTTTCATACCTTATCATGATGTTATATTGATATCATTTATATCATCTGGGTAAATTATAACGACCTCACTGTTCTCCCTCACTGGAATCATGGTTAGTAAGGGAAATCATCCCCAAATGGCCGCAAGATTCAGGTTAGTGAAATATTATAATTTACCCAGATTTAATGGTGATCTAATGGGATTTAATGGTATATTTGATGCGATTATATAAACATGCGGATATGTTTATGGTATCTAATGGGATTTAATGGTATATTTATCTAATGGGATATATTTCTTATACGCCTTTAACCAAGATTGCCCTCTGGTAAACATACAAAAAGCGAACTGGAAAATGGCCCAGTCGAACCTGCGGATCTTTCCATATGTTAGTTTACCAGAGGGTCTATAAACTATATTTGGGTGTGTCTGAAAATAGTGTACCCCTTTTTACCCAATGGTTTTGCTGATCATTATCCCGTTTTGAAATGGCTATTTGTTTGGGAATATACCCATCATTTTCAGACAAACCCATATTTACTATACACATTTTAGCAGTAATTTACGGTATATACAGTCTACCATCAAAACTTACCCGCCATGAATACAGGATGGGGCCCCCCGGGGCCCCCCGTTCGTTTATCACGTTTGGGGGCACCATCCTGCATGGATTTTGTTGTGATGTCACGGGATTTCATGATGAACAATATGTTTTAATGGTGCTGAAATGGGAGTTGTGAGTGGGATTGACGTGATTTTAAGCGTTCTAATGGGATTGATGTGATGGGTTTGAATGGATGTGATTTTGAGATGGATGTTTAATGGGAATACCATGGAAATAATGGGATTGAAAGATATTTTAATACCCACATGCTCCATGTATGGTTTATTTACCTACATTTGGGTGATTTTTAGGGCAAATGTTGGAACCTATTCCATACATGGAGCATATGAGACAGGATTGACATGATATTAAAGCCATTTGAGCTGATACTGGAGATCAATGGATACAACATTGGTATTTCATGGCTAGAATATGGTCGGCTATGAAATCATTGGGAAACCTGGAACCGATTTCGACCATACGGTGTTTAGCAAGCAAAGTCGAGAGATTTCTACAACATCTTCCTGCTGGACAGCAATGCCTGGAAAGAGGTCCACAAAACATAGAATTGGATGATGGGCAAATTTTAATTAATTAACTAACCATCATTAACCACTATTAACCACCATGAATTTTAACTGGAAACCCCGTCATATTTGATGCTAAAAACCCATGGGTTTCCGGTCAAGTTTGCCCAAACAAACCGATCCAATGAAACTTCAGCAATTTGAGGCCCCATGTTTCGAATGAGACAAGAACTATAATGGCATTATCTGGTGGAATAGCATCATTAATATACCATTAGGGAAAATAATGGGATAGTCATGGGATATGGATATACCCATTGGTGTCATCAAACATGGGGTGAAAATCCATAAAAATCAGTAATTTTCCTGGCGATTTTCCGGCCACGTGGCTGATGAATAGTTTGGGTACCACCAAAGAGTTGAACTGATGGGAGATTCCCATGTGGTATGTCAGATGAAGACTGGTTGGTGGTTTGCAACCATGGAATTTTATGACTTTCCATATATTGGGAATGTCATCATCCCAACTGACGAACTCATATTTTTCAGAGGGGTTGAAACCACCAACCAGATGATAATGAGATTTGTAGTGAGTTTGGATGCGGATACGTCCAACAGTAATAGGGATATGCTGGGAATATAAAGGGAAATTAACATGAGGATGATATTTTTTAAAAAATAACTACCATCAACTAGTGCGAATTAATCGGATATGAAGGATATGCATAGGGTCTTAATGGATGTTCATTTTTCATGGGACGTGATACCCTCTGGCAATTCAACAGTTTGCTTTGGAAAATCAGCCTTGAAATAAATCATCATCAAACTAAATGGGCCACTAGCTTTCTTAAATCATCAAGGGGTATTTGAAACCGCCAGCCAGATACACAAATCCAGTGGTTAAGCATCGTTTTCCCCATGATATGTTTCAGTGTATACCTAATACATGCCCAATAGAATTCTCACGATTATTTGTGTAAATCATGTTTACATATGATATCATATTGTCACTGTTACAGAAGCAATATATGGTATAATGTAAAATAGGTACATTTATATGTATATTACCAACAGTTGTATATATATATATATCATACTCAAAGATACACACATATATCTATATTCCAACCTTTTTAGCTTATCATACCTTATCATGATGTTATATTTATATCATTTATATGGCTATGGACCAATACCTATAGATACAATTTGTTAGGGGATGAACATTCATTTACCAGCAATTTTGATGTTCACTAGGTACCAGGGTTTTGACCCGTCCCTATATCATGGTATAACCAAGATATGACCATTAAAAATTCCCAGGCCATCCTGCATTCCTTGCCGCGGAATCCCTTGGATCCGGAGCCATGGAGGATCTTGTCGGAGCAACAAGTGTCTGGTGCCTCAGAGTTCTGAGACGATGGGAGATGTACTCCATCAATTTCTTTAAAGAAACATGTATCTATATATATATGTATATAAACACATATACATATGTATGTATATATATATATATATATTTAACATGTTTATTTATAGTTTCTTTCAAACACATGATGAACTTCATAGATTTTATACATAAATCATATTACCCTCCAGTAAATTAACATAGACCCTGGCAGTCATTGGGCTTGGAAGATTTTTGTGTCTGTCAAAAATCCAAGATGAGTAATTTTCAGGGTCTATGTTAATTTACCAGATGGTAATTCACATATGAGATATATTACACTCCATATAGCTCTAAAACCATATATATATACATATGTATATATATATATATATCTTCAGTTGCTTTCAGAATGTGATGATAATCATAGATTTCAAATATGGAATGATGGGTCAAATCCAATTTATTCAAGACCCATCATCCCATCAAATGAAATTAAAGAATGTTAATTTGGCCAGTGATTGGTCCATTATTTCCACTTAGTCATTATGACATTCATCCGTAGATATCATGTTTTATCCCATAAGGTATCCCATTATATATATATATCATTACAACAACCATGTTGCTTCAATCCTCGTGAAACATCTCATTACAATACTAGACAATACATAGAGATCTTTGTTGTCATAGTGTTAATGATGTTTTTAATGATGACACCATTAATGACACTCATCTTTTGTTTCAAGCCTCGACATGGGGTGATCCCAAATGATGTGACCTGGGATACCACTGAGTTTCCGGTGGCGAAATGCGATTTGAAGCAGCAAAAGTGTGGATCCAACAGAAAACACGTAAAGTTGGAGATGGAACCATTGGTTGATAGCGGGATACTGCAAAAATAACAATGCTGAACAAGTAATTTTTGAGTGTTGACCCACATGCTGATACGTCTACCATCAATGGGAAGTTCGCCAACCATAGAGGAGATTCGGCAATTGGTGTCCATTGATCTCTCATCAGTTCCCTTTGACCATGAGTATTGATAAGAGCATCGTATCACACTCTGAAATAAAAAAATACTTTACTTCGTGTGATCCCCACCATGACATTTATACATGTTCTTACTGGCACATCTTCTGGCATTCTATCTGACATATCTTCTGACAT